ACTTCCCATCTGCAGTCTGTGCTAAAGATAGGTTACTAAACATCCAATGCTAGATCTGTGACGGCATTTTATCTGAACTGTCCTATCAGATACAGCAATCAGCATGGTTCACGATCATGTAATTCCTCTGACAGCCAATCATAGTGAACACATGGCTTCATTTAAAAACAGTTCAGCTGTCATTGTGACTAGCACAGAAAATAAGCTCTTTAACAGAATGCTTCTTCTTACCTGCAGAAGACTGAGGATATCATCTTATCCTAGTGTCAGGATTTAACTGCACCGTTGTGGACCCTCCTGCTACACTATAAGGGATAGTCAAGAAATGGCAGTAGGTGTACCTAAGTGTGGGCCAAAACCCAGATTGTGGTAGGACCAAGCACAACGAAACAGAGCTGGGAGCATAATCTGTGGAGTAGAAACCTCTCTGGATTACACTAGAAGTAGGAGGATCCTGGAAATGAGTCTGTATTGCACTGGAAGGGTTAGAACCAGGATCAGGACACGCCAGAGTATAAGGTTGACGTGGGAACCACCAGAGGAATATTACAGCCAGATGTTATTTACTAGGGACCCTCTCATGAGAGTTTGGATTTTGCTACGCTCACTCCAGGATGCAACCCCCTGGTTCACCCTGCTCCACCACCACGGACCACAGTCCAGAGGTCAGGACTAACAATGGATATGGATAGTCTGGATACAAGTCAGTGGTCAGGGCAGGCAGTGGACAAGGATAACGAGGATTTTAGCCAAAAATCAGGATAGGCAGCAGACACAGATAACTAGGAACAGGTCAAAGGTCAGGGCAGGCAGCAGACACAGATCACCAAGAACCAGCCAGAGGTCAGTACACAGAAATGAATGGAAGTTAGCAGGCTGGATAACGGAAACATACACCAGGGGCTCAGCAGCTAGCTTGCAGAACCATTGCTTGGGCAACAAGACGCGAGCTGGACCCAGTGTTAATAGGGTGAGCAAAAGAAAGGAACCAATGAGATTGTGGGCAAGCTGAAAGGGGTATCAGAGTACCAAACTCATTGGTCACAGCCTGACAGGGAGGAAAGGGCACCAATTTGATTGGCTGCTGTCAATCAGGGGAAAGGCATTGCTCTGCATGGCTATAGCTTGTCAGGGGGAGGGTACTACTCTAATTGGTCATAGCTGTGACACCTTGGGTAAAAACCAGAAGTAAGCAAAGTCACTTCACTAGAGCTCAAAGATAACTTATTAGAAATAAAAGGCATAGTTGTATATTGTGACATGTCAGGAATGTACTGACATAGTAAGTTACTGAGGAGTCCACTTCAAGTACAGGTCTGCTACGTACATGTACTGTATTTGCAATTCTGCTGGAAGAACAGAAAATTACCAGGCGGGGATCACTCTGACACAGTTGGCCAGTGTGAATATGTATTGCAATGTACTGCAAACTAAGAGCCCGTTGTTAAGCAAAAGTCTGCTCAGCACGTGTAAGGGTGTGTATCGGTGTGCAGAGGGTTCAGTTAGAAAATATGTAAATAATGAGTAACACAATGTAAGTGCGGCATGAACTAGCCTTCAGCATAAGGCAGGACACAAGCACTGCTGTGAATGGTGCCATTGTGCCTTCTGCGGAAACACTGGTGCAAATCATTTGTACTGACTGGTTTTTCTAGTAAGACAATGAGGGATGCGCACATTATAATAATGCAATGTGTTAGCATTCAGCGTTTATGATTACCACTCATAAACCATAAAATCTGATTGGCTACTTCAGGGGGACAACACTTTGTCTCAACTTTCTTTTCACCTCCTTGTGAAAGTGTTTAGTCCACCTAGATGTGACATTTACTGGTATATAGGTGAATGGAAACATTCACTCTATATTAAACTCTAATATATATTACATTTTGAGGCCTTGTTCACACCGAAAGCACTGCGTTCCAGAGCGGTAGCTGCTGGAACGCACCGCAATCGCTCACAAAACTTTCCCCTGCATTCTGGGGCGGGAGGGGGCGATGCATTTAATTAAATGGCCCCGCTTCCATGCCCCCCCGCCCGCACGGTGATCAGACACATGGCAAAACTTTGCCTGCGTTCCATTCCACTGCAAACGCAAAAAATAGGGCTTGCTCGATTTTTTGCGTTCGCAGTGGAACGGAGCGCAGGCAAGTTTTTCCACGCGTCCGATCGCACTGCAGGCTGGGGGGCATGGAAGCGGTGCCAGTGAATTCAATGCACCGCCACGCCCCAGAACGCAAGGGGAAGTTGGGGATGCGTTCCAGCAGCTACCGCTCCGGAACGAACACTGCTTTCGGTGTGAATAAGCCCTAAATCATTTCTTAAAGTCATTTTCAATAAATGTAAATATGCAGATTTTAGATACCTGCCGATCATCCCACTTCCCATGTTGTCACCCTCTCTCATTTACCCCATGGAGACCCCAACAAGCCATGGAGCCGACACATATTGCACAGGCATGGTTCACCGTTGTTACTATCAGGAAGCCAGTCCCAAACAATCATACACAATCACCACGGATGGAGTAAGTACTTGTAGACAGGAAGTGGCTGAAAGAGGCTGGATGAGAACAACACTGAGATACAAAAAAATAACAACATATTATATAAAAAATAAAAACTATGGCAACCGTTTATGATAATAATCCTTTGCAAACTACATGTTACCCAGTCAGAGTTTAGATTCACTTTGTGCTAGCGATAAACCAAAATGATCTACTCCTTTTAACTTTATGAATGATCTTTTATATAAAACTACTGCAAAAAGTGATCCTATTACACGTGTGCAGCCAATACAGCAGATGCATTCAATAAAACTGGATCAGGAAAAAAACTGATCAAAAAATGAGCAAATGACACGTAGGAGTGAAAATATTGCATGTGTGCGACTTTTGTGAATGAAAGAAGAGTAAAAACCTGGATGAGATTGAATTGCTAAGTTACTCATAACAATTTGTGTTTTCTTTTATATAAAATATTTTTGTCATCCTTTAGTGCATCTCAACGCTGCTGATCTCCTCCATCCTCTTGAAGCCACTTCCTGTCTTCATGTACTTGCTCCTGGATCAGCAGCACATAATTACTCTCACAGGCTTGCTGATAGTGACATTAGAGGACCAGAACTGCAGAATGAGTGTCGGAATGGCTCCTGGACATTCATGGCAGGATCACAAGGAATTCTTTTAATGTAAGCTGCACATTTTAAATGAATTGAATATTTAAATGACACTAGCTTTAAATCTAAGGTAATGCTTATGTCTACTGAACCAGAAGTAACATCCCCCCAGCTTTGTTGCCCTCCCCCACATGGTCTCAATCCAGTGTGTCACCCTCTTCCACGTGGTGTCAGTCCAATGTATCACCCTCCCACATGTGGTCTCACTCCAGCGTGTCGCCCCTCTCTTGTGCGTTCTCTCCAGTGTGTTGCCCTCTCCCATGTGGTCTCTCTCCAGTATGTCACCCTCTCCTGCGTGGTCCTACTTCAGTGTCGCCCTCTCCCGTGTGGTCTCTCTCCAGTGTGTCACCCTCTCCTGCGTGGTCCTACTTCAGTGTCGCCCTCTCCTGTGTGGTCTCTCTCCAGTGTCTCACCTTCCTCTGTGTGGTAACCCTCTCCCGTGTGGTCTCTCTCCAGTGCATCACCCTCTCCCTTGTGGTCTCTCTCCAGTGCATCGCCCTCTCCCTTGTGGTCTCTCTCCAGTGCATCACCCTCTCCGTTGTGGTCTCTTCAGAGAGTCACCCTCTCACCGTGTGGTCTCTCTGCAGTGTGTCACTCTCTCCAGTGTGGTCTCTCTGCAGTATGTCAACCTCTTCCGTGTGGTCTTTCTCTGGTGGGTCACCTTCTTCCGTGTGGTCTCCCTGCAGTGTGTCAACCTATTCCGCATGGTCTCTCTGCAGTACACCACCCTCTTCCTTGTGGTCTCTCTCCAGTGGGTCACCCTCTTCCGTGTGGTCTCTGCAATGTGTCACCCTCTTCCGTGTGGTCTCTGCAATGTGTCACCCTCTTCCGTGTGGTCTCTCTGCAGTGTGTCATCCTATTTTGCATGGTCTCTCTGCAGTGTATCACCCTCTTCCATGTGGTCTCTCTCCAGTGTGTCACCCTCTTCCATGTGGTCTCTCTCTAGTGTGTCACGCTCTCCGATGTGGTCTCTCCAGTGATTCGCCCTCTCCCATGTGGTCCATCTACAGTCGGTCACCTCTCCCGTGTGATCTCTCCCCAGTGTGTTCACCCTCTCCCGTGTGGTCTCTCTCCAGTGGGTCACCCTCTCCTTTGTGGTCTCTTTCCAGTGGGTCACCTCTCCTGTGTGGCCTCACTCCAATGAGTCACCCTCCCGTGTGGTCTCTCTACAGTTGGTCCCCTCCCCCATGTGGTCTCACTCCAGTGTTGTCTCTCTCCAGTGCGGTCCCTCTGGTGAGACAGGTAGGGATAACTGTGAACTCAGTTGCACTGACAAACAGCCATCTAGTGATTGATTGAACCTTCTAGCGTCCACCATTTCGTGTGTTCTAGTCGTTTGGCAAAGCCAAACTGTGAGAATGACCCCCGATCCCACCCCGTATTGCTCAATCCGCAAGATGATCCATCTGTTAATATTGCAGGAAAATGATTCAAAGCCTCAGATAGAGAATTCACAACGAGCTGATAATGAATTCAGGAAGTAGTCTGAAGCTTGCATCTGAATCGTGACTAACAAGCCAAGCCACCTACAACCTAAGTAGGAAGATCAGTGCCCCCGTATCTCCCACCCCGCAACTTCCTGGACTGCACATAAAATCTGATATTTACTGAAAGCACCTGTGTGATCATGCCAAGTCACCTGCCTCTGCCTACCTCACCTTGAGGCTGATACCTCTCCCTGCCAGCCTAGTCCCCCTGGGGCTGCCTATGTAGCTGTGCTGCATTGCACATTGCTGGGTGACACTGGGGCTGCCTGCCACTGATAGGGATGGCATCGGTGCAGGCACAGGGCTAGTTATATGTATATGAAGCTGGCTGTCACTCACCAGTGCTGTGCTGGTTCTTGGGGGCTAGCTGCTTGGTCAGGCTCTGGATCTTCTCCCACTGACACTCTGCCCTGCAGCGCTCGATCTCTGCCTCCAGCTTCAGGTGGGACTGGGAAAGCCTTGAAGCCATGTCGGGTCATGTCACAGGGACGTAGCCGGGGACTGTACAGCTGCGGCTCTGCCACTGTCTGTGGCTCGCTCGACAGCTCTCAGCCCGCTGCTGCTTCCCCCGCCTCGATTCCCGGGGGCGCCCGCTGATTGGCCGCCGACGCCCGGGGCCGGCCACTGATTGGAGGCTTCTTATTTCCTTGGCCGGGCACCTTATCAGTGGGGCTGGGCTGGGTGCCAGGCAGGTGTGGGCACTGACAGATCAATAAAGCTAGCTGTGTGCGCTCATCAATTGTGATCAATGATGTCATCAATCCATACCCAGCCAATGGCATATTCAGTATCATTGTTACTCTTAGTATGTTATTAGAAAATATAAGAATACAAAAAAGATGGATATCATCACTGCCACAAAAAAATGATGGTCAGAAGGAGGGACAGCAGTTGTCATATGAGTACTGGAATAATCTAATGATTAAAAGAGAATTGTATTAACCCTTGCAATGGGGCTATCCCCACACTCATCTTTGCTCATTTTTTCCTGGGGTAAAAAAAAAAGTTATACTCACCCGATTTTCCGACCCAACTTGCTCTTAGACCAGTCCCCGGAGCTTCTCTCCCCATCTGCTGCACCAGGCTAGGAATCCCCATGTCATCATGTCCAATACACTGTATCAGAGCCGTAGCTAGCTCTTTTTGCGCCAGAGGCAAGAACAGAAAATTATGCCCCCCCC